TCTTGGAGTCATCATTGATGCCAAGATGAATATGGGCAGGCAGTGTGGGGATGCAATCAAGAAGGCCAACCGCACCTTGTCATGAATACACAGATGCATCTCAAGCAGGTCCAGGGAGGTGATAGTCCCCTCTATGCGGCACTGGTCAGGCCACAGCTGGAGTACTGTGTCCAGTTCTGGGCGCCGCACTTCAAGAGGGATGTGGACAACATGGTGAGGGTGCAGAGGAGGGCCACTTGCATGATCAGGGGGCAGCAGGGCAGGCCCTATGAAGACAGGCTCAGGGACCTAAACCTGTTCAGCCTCCATAAGAGAAGGCTGAGGTGTGATCTAGTGGCCTGTTACAAACTAGTCAGAGGGGACCAGCAGGCATTGGGGGAGTCCCTGTTTCCCCGAGCACTACCAGGAGTGACTAGAAATAACAATCACAAGCTGGCAGAGGGTAGATTCAGACTAGACATCAGGAGGCACTACTTGACTGTCAGGGCAGCTAGGATCTGGAACCAACTTCCAAGTGAAGTGGTGCTGGCTCCTACCCTGGGGGTCTTTAAATCAAGGCTTGACAGTCACCTTGCTGGGGTCATTTGACCCCAGTACTCTTTCCTACCATGGCAGGGGGTCGGACTTGATGATCTGCTCAGGTCCCTTCTGACCCTACTAACTATGAAACTATGAAATATAATGGGGGGCTGAACTCTGTTTTCATCTCTGAAAATATGTATAAACCAGGTGCTTTTCATTATTCCACTAAGCTTTACATTTACCAATCAAATTTGCTTCACAGTGGGACATGGTCCCTAACACAAAACAGAGATGGTTCAGCCTGATACAGAAAAAAAGCTACAAGGGCAAAGCATCTACTTCCTCCTCCCCTCCCCACCCCATCCCTCCCACAAAATTTGTTTCCATACTCAGATCAGTTTAGAATATTAAGCTTTGAGGTAATCCTCTTACACATATGGCTGAATCACATCAAGAACTGCAAAAGTTCTTAGCAAGGACTGTCCCATGTTTCTCCATAATTCTTTTGGAGTGCCTCAAGAGCTTTCAAGTTCCCAACAGTTATACAGTTACATGAAAATTCCTTTACAATGGTGATGTCCTAAAGACCTAGAGGCCATCTCCTTACCTTTTTTTTAATTTTTTAAAGGAATAACCATGTTCTTGTGTATGCAATTCTTGCTGTCTGGACTTGGAGTATGTTGCAGTTTCCACTTGACCTTGCAGGTTAGTATGTGCATGTAGATGATAAAATAAAACTTATTTATTTTGCTTGCACACCTCAGGGCTCTGAACACTTACAGCTCCAAGGAAATGAACACCCCCACCAAAGAAAAAAAGCAACCCTCCCCCCCCAAAAAACCCCCTCAGAGAATATACTAAAGGCTTTGGGTGGAAAGAGACTGATATCACAAAAGACTATGATAAGATTTTGAAGGATTTTTTTTTTCAGATTGAGCTGCAATTTCTCTAACACACAGTAAGCTTCCAAGCAAGCTGGAATTGGAACAAATAGGACTATCTGCTCTGGTGGCTTCCTTAGAATGGGAACACACTGGCTGAACCTTAACTAGACAAACTCAAGTTAAATCAACTCCCGGGACTATGCTGGCAGCCACTAAGGTTCACACATGGTATCACAGCAGCATATTGGACACGAATCAGGAATCAGAGTTGGAGATCAGACAGGGGGCACATCTACATGAGACGCTAACTGCACAGTACATAAGGGTATGATTGATAGGAGACACATACAGTGCTTGCATAAAATGTGAATTACTCCAGTCTTGTTAATTTATGGATACCAAAAAACACAGGAATATCAGGACTAGTATGCATGAGTCTCCCTTAACCCTATAAGAAATGTTCCCTGAATGACTTTAAATGATTGATTATAATGATACTGTGCCTGTAGGACAAGATAATATATAAATTTTACTTATGGTGCATATAGTCTCTTCCAGTTTCAGGCTATGGGCTGAGGAGGGAGAGGAGGATCGAGGTAGTAAACCAAAGACTGTGGTGCTGGTGTCACCATGAAAGCTTCAGCTTCCATGACCACAGTCCGCTCTTTGGTGAGAGAGGCAGTGAGCTGCTAGGAAAGGATGGCCTCCACTTTTCTCCACTGGGGAGGAGGCTCTTCTCAGCCAGACTGGCTGACCTGCTCCACCAGGCTTTAAACTAAGCCCGCCAGGGGATGGGGGAACTACTGCCACTGCTGGCCCACTGAGTAACCTTTGCAAAGCCAGCAGGCCAAGGCACTTAAGGGAGCCCACCCCTGCCCCAGCCCTGGAACAATCTGTAGCAAGGCAAGGGCCCCCAAAGGAACACTTGCGTGCCTGTACACAAATGCCAGGAGCTTGGGGAATAAACAGGAGGAACTTGTCCTCCTGCTTAACACAAACACTTATGATGTCATAGGGATAATGGAGACCTGGCGGGACTCCACCCATGACTGGGCCACAGGTATAGATGGCTATACACTGTACAGGACAGATCAAGTGGACAAAAGGGGCTGGGGTGTAACTCTTTATGTCAAGGAAAGCTATGCATCCCTGCAAGCCAACATAGGCACCCAGAGTGGATGACTGGAGACCCTCTGGGATAAAATCCATGGAGAATACGGTACAGGGGACACAATGGTGGGAGTCTACTACAGAGCTCCTACCCAGGATCAAGAGCTTGAGCTTTCATCAATGCTGACCTTGTGAAGGAATACCTTGAGAGACTGGATACCTTCAAGTCAGCTGGCCCTGACAGATTACAAC